TTATTTTGCCTACTAAGTATATCTTATAGTAACCTTACCTAACGAGAAGGTTCTTAACTTTCTAAAAAATCAAGATGTATTAGTCTAGGTAGTCTAGTTCTTTAGATATAGAGCTTAGAAAAAGTTAACTTTTAAAAAGTCTCTTTCTTTTTGTCACCCGACTGTAGGAGCAGAAGGTCTAGGACAATATAGCCTGTCTAGGACGACTTTTTGGACCGCTATATAGTTAGCGATCGATCAATTTTAAGAGAGTAGTCAAAGCTACTAGAAGGAATTGAGCAGCCGCACAAACTAGCTGCGAACACTTATTTTTCGAGCATTTTATAGGAACAGAAAGGAGAACTTATAATTATATAGCAGGCATATTTTTTTTGAAAAAGCTCGAAGGAACAAGGTGTGATAGTTGAGAGCGACTAGAGGAGCAGCTATTATGCCTATAGAGGGGCGCGCCGGTTAGTGGCGGACTTACAGAGGATTAAAAAGATAGAGGGGCACCACGATGAGTGATCCGACTCATGCGAATAGCAGTCCGACTTTTTGAGACAGCGTCGGACTAGGGGGTGTGTGTTACGAACCTGTGGGAAGGGGCACGGCGGTTAAGTTAAGGAGCGTCGGCGGGATAGCTGACCCCTCCATATGTGACACGGGAACTTAATCACGTGACCTCCTCGGCTTGGCATGCACGAGGAAAGGTCTTGGCACACTCCTCGTACATACGCCACCGAGGAATACTCCTCGCGCGTCAGCCACCGAGGAATCCTCGGACTCCTCTGAGCGAGGACAGCGAGCACCATAGGTATATAGCATTAGGCAATGAGCTCCTATAGCTTATTGTGTTCAACTTCGAAATCCAAGGATTAGTACTTAATTCTTAACTCCCCGTATATTACATCGATCTACCAATCGTGCTATACACCCTCGTGTCCATCGCATCACTCTATCCCCGAGAACCAACCCAAGATCATCTTCGGACGATCTTCACAGTGTGTCGCGGAAATGGACTTGATGTTAGACGTCGGATAATCACGTGATCGGATCGAGTCTTTGAGACTCCGGATCCGTGCCAAGGGACTAGTCCATCATGTATAAATACTGGACTAGCCGTCTAATCTTTCTAATCCTTAGAGTAATTTAATGATCCCACTTTTAAACGAATCCAATTAGTGTTATCCCAACTATTACAGTTATAAGCCCAGCGTTTTAAGATCGCAGTATTCATTCTCCCTACGCACCGTTTTTACGTTAGTTACACAATTAGATCATTACTCTATTTGTCGGCATACACACGGTGTGTCGCCTAATGAGGCCCAATGTACCGCCTCGATCCTACTTCGGCCCAACTCGGACCCAACGTTATGTATACCTTCGTAGCCCCCACATTCGTAGAATCATCATACACCGGAATACCAATACACAAGATTACCTTAGTTACTGTTATTCACCGTACGATCGTACAAGGCCTTCCAACACTATTCATCTCTCTCTATTTATTACTTTCGTTCTCGTTAAGTCTATTAATTAATCCTAAGACAAAGAAGACTATTATAGATTATAACCCTAAAATCCTAGTACCTAATATTATCCTATACGCCTACAAGGACTAGCACCTATAGTTCCCGCTACTTAAGAAACATTCGCGCGATCGCGGAGTCTAGGAATATATTAACCTAGATGTTAACACTCTTATGCTAGCGATTAAATCCCTTAAGCTATTCTATCTAGCTATTCTACCTAAGCTAGTTAAGCCTACCTCGCCTACCTTAAAGCCAACGCCTAAATACTAGGTTTCTTTTAAGGAGTATAATTATAAGAAGGCAGCCTACTAGCTTGCTATTAAAAATTATAAAAAGAATACTCGCGTCTATAAAGTCCTATATAACTAGTAGGTTAAGAAGTCTTTAAACATCGCGAATATTAATAAGTAGATTAATTATATAGTTTTCTGGAAATCGCTCCTACTAATTACTACATAACTCCTTTGCGGAACTTCTACTCTATAGGCTATAGTTAGGGAGCTTAAGAAGCGTCTCTTACTATTAGATTTAAACACTAAGAACCTCCTACGCATCTAATATAGGGCTTACTTAGAGAAGGTTAAAACTAGTTAATCTAATATAGATAAGTAGTTTAAGGATTAGCAGGCTCTCTATACAAAAGCTTAAGCGTTTAAACTTTATAAAGTTAAGAGTAATCTCGCTATTACTAACTTTCTAGATACGTTAGCGGCAAAGATTGCTCTTAACTAGGCACGCAATTTATAATAAGTAATCACAACTGCGTTAGCTATAAGTTAGCTAACTATAAGCCTTAATAATATAGCTAGAGTGTTTAATTAACTATATAAGAGCACGAAGCGTCTAGCAGAAAGGGTAGATTAACTAAATTATTCTCTATAATTAGTAGTAAATCTGCTTTAAGCGGAAGAAATTCTAGAGAATTAACTAGAGGACTATAGAAGTATTATCTATGCAAACCTAGTAAGCTATCCTATTATTAGGAGGCTATTAAATACTATAGGCTGTAATAAGTAATTACTAGAAATTCTAATCTTCAACTTACTCTAATCTATCTATCTAATGTAAATACTAGGATAATTAACTAAAGGCTTTATAGCTCTAAGTTTTTAACGCTACTTATGTAGCTAAAATAAGCTAAATAGAGGACTAATTCTACTTAGTAAACGTCTAAGAAGTCTAAGACTATAAACACTATTATAGCTTATAATATTAATCCTCGCACTTTAAGGAATCTAAGTAATACTATCTTTAACCTTCACTATAGTG